CATAATTGAAGAAATAGTATTCATAATTTAATTCAATATACAATAGAGTCGATGTTTGTGAAAGTTAAAGCAGTGTCTGTGTAACGGTTTAAGATAGTGAATGTGATAATGTAACAGATTTAGAAATAGACAGTTGTAAATATTATGGTAAAATGTAATATTCAACCGATAATAGATTTCCGTTAAACGATTGTGTAGATTTAGGTTAAGTGCTATGTAAAATGCGTGTAATAATCAAAATGGCGGTTGTCACACTTTCATACAATCTGTTAGGTACTGAGCGGATTTGAGTTGGCACATAATGTATTAATTAAGACATGTATATGCTCTAGAATAATTAATGTAATTACATGTGTATAGAAAAAGACTATATTATAATATAGGAAATAATTAATAGATTGTACAGGTCCAGTTTGGCCCAAGTATATAAGGAAGCACATTTGTACTTAAAAAAGGGAAAAGAGTAATTTAAGCTGTGGAGTGGAACGACAGTTGAATAAAGATAGCTTTGTAATATTACCTAGTAAACTTCTAGACTGACTGTTACTTTTGACTAAGGTCCTTCACGAAGGTAGTGAAAGTAGTGACGCATGGTAGCAGATTTATAATACGGTAGCAGGCTTTACAGGTAATCATAAAAGGAGAATTCACTGAAACAAACGAAATTTATGACAGTCTGTTATAATTAAAGTTCCCGTATTTTATGTAAATACTGAAATAAGAATGCTGGCTAATTAATATCCTGTTTTTAAATAAAAGAAATATCGTAGTTTATTATTTATAAGAAAGCTAAATTTTTGCAAATAAATTCCTCGAAAATGGATGCCTGAATCGCTGTCTTTCAATTTCAATTACGGCAGTTTCTAATGTAATTCCAAATTCTTACTTAAAAATTCGCTTTAAAACTCAGCCTAGGTAGATTTAATCATTGTACTGAAAGCTAAAGAATACTGTCTGTGCTTAGGAAGTTAATAAACTATCACGTAGTATTACCTAGAATCCCTGTATACATATAAATACACCATCAATCAGATAAATATTGTTAAATTTAGTTTTGTAATAGGGTACCTGCAATTCACAGACTGATAGGATGTCAGGGTCATATCTCCGTAAATTTAGGCTGTCACAATTTAGGGTATACTTACTGGCTAAGTCTTTGCGTAAAATATCTCATATAGAATCTATCAAGTACGGCGAATTAAGCTGTTAATCACTTACATCACAATAACGTAAAATAAGAACCAAGAAAGAAGTTATGAAGTAAGAAGACAACTTAAGGTGTACTTTAATCTTCGCTAATCTAGTAAATTCACTTCGTAACTAACAATTAATAGGAAAAATCTTTTTACTAGTATTTTTGTGATAAAAACCGATCACGAATATTTTAAGTTGTAAAAAGTTAAAACTTTATTAGATCTAATGCAAAGACTAGCTACACACAGCTCTACTCTAGCCGTATACAACTACTGAAAGACCCCTAGAAAGAACAACAAGGTAATTTAATAATCTAATGTCTCCTGCTTTTATACTCTCTGTAGCCTTCAATCTAGCATAATTTACATTTAGTCAAATTACTATTAGTAACAACTTTTTACTGCGGATCATCATGATCCGTTTATGCAATTAAACAAATATTATCATTGAAGTACGGTAAGAAATATTAAATCTTACAAAATAATAACAATGCTATCTTTATATAGCATTCAATAAAATAGAATCCTTCCTAAATTAATGGTAAAGTTGAACTATCGACTTTTCTTAATAATTATCAACACTATTTAATACAATTAAAGCTATCGGAAGTATTACTTGCCATACTATGTCAAGGACTTAAGAATCCCTGACTATGCATAATTTCGTTGTAAAAACTGAAAATTATATCTCCTAAAATTATGTAGGGTAATTTTGCATTTTGTTTAGCTTCGAAATAATACTAGTATCGAAGGCGTACTTCTTTACGTCATACTACTTCCTGCTAATAGTAAACTTAACTAAGACATATTATCTCCCATGGTAACTAAAGCATTAAAGATAAAGATTTTGTATCCCCAAAAATCGCCATTCTCGAAGATTATTCATCATTCTCATAACCAGTATAAACTGGTTACACTTTAAGAAAGTAATTATGTAATTAAAATTATATCATAGCAATGAATAAGATGTCAAGAAATAGAGTGAAATTTACTCCTTTTGAATTATGACGATTAATTTTAAATTATATTTTATAGCTTTAAGCTAAAAACTTCGCCTCGTATTTCTTCAAAGCTTAGCATAGTAAAATAGAGTATGCCTTTAAAATATCATAGTTCAAAGTGGTAGTACCGATGATAAAATTATTCTATGTGGATCACGTTCGTATACAGATACCAATATCCGAAGATGCTTTTCCATATTTTTTTACCGTAATTATTATTCATTATATCAAATATAAGACCATTTGAAATAATACTAAAATTAGCGATTCAATTAAATTATTCTCTTTATTACTGAAAATCAAATTCAACTTATATTATTGCTATTGCTTTTCTACCCTTATCAAATAGATTAAATGCCCAAAATAGCAACTTTTATATAAGTAACGTATATAAAACAAACTAACCACTATAACATTTTTTTTTACTTCTGTGCAATAATAATATAATTTAGGACTGAAATTTTTCAACCATGACCAGATTTACTCTTATGTTTCATTGCTTTAAGCTGTAAATTTTATCTTGTATTTCTTCTTACTTTAGCATAGTAAAACAGAGTATGCCATTAAAATATCACTGTTCAAACCGATAGTATTGACGACAAAGTTATTCCGTATGGATCATTGCTAGTATGCAGATACCAATTTCCCAAAGTACTTTTCCATATTTATTTACCGTATTTATTGTTTATCATATCAAATATAAAGACCATTTGAAATAATAATACAAATAGTGATTTAATCAAATATATCTTTCACTCTGAAAACTTAGCCCAATTTATAGCAATAGTTACTTCTCTGCTCTTATTAAATAGATTAAATGTCCTAAATATATTTTATCCAAAGCAAAGTATATGAAACAGACCAACCACTATGAAATTTCTCTGTTACATTTTTGCGTTATCAATATAGTTTAGGACTGAAATTCTTCAGCCATGGGCAAACACACACTTGATAAAAGTGGTTATCTTGTGAATAACTTTAGTATTATTATGCTTGTCATTATCTAATAAGATACTAGAATCACTAGACAATTAATAATAGTTATCGTCGTAAAATGTAAAAATATTAATACAAATAATAATAATTATTGATCGTTTGCATGCAATCAATTTTCTCAGCAAAAGTTTTATTATCAATTATCCACAATAGAATGTAAAATATTAACTACCGTACCCTGCGCCTTATAAATATAATATGACCTGTATCGTATTACCGCTAAAAATAACTAAAGCAGATCTGTGATAAAATATCAAATCACTCATCAATAAGTAATTCTGTCCTGCAAAGTATAAAGTATAAATCAATTCATCAGCATAGAGTTAGCTATAGCTATCTGAGGGTCCTGAAAGGCAATCAGTTATCACCAATCGACAATAAAATGTTGGTTATTATTTATTAAAATTTAATGAGCATATAAAGTAAATCAAAATAGAGTCCAACTCGATAGTAATTAACGAACGAATTGATTTATTGTCAAACTACGAAAGGCTGTGAGGCTAGATATAGACTTCATTCTACTTTTCGTTGAGCCTGTATCTAGACGCAAATGCATATACCGAGAAAGCAGTATCTATTTTGTAATTGTTTTTAAACACATCTAAATAAGTTATTATAACTGCATCCAAATTTTCTACAAGATCGACAGATGTACATATCATATCTATTAATTATTACTAATGCTTTGAAAGATTAAAATGAAACTGACCTGCAAAACAAACTAGTTACATGATAATAAGCGCCCATAATTTACGATTATCTAATTTAAATTTATAAGCAATAAATTGAATAAAAAATTTTAGTTTAACCTATGCAGCTGAATAAACGTCCACAATATCTATACGAATTTGTCATTGCATCAAATCACTGTAAAGAAGATCTAATAATCGTCAAGATAAGTTTAAAGTTAACAATTTTTTGCTCAATCCCGAATTGATTTGATGATTATGTCTTACTCGCTTTTTCAAGGCAACGACTTTGCAAGATATTTCTGTTGGATATTCGCAATTATTGGGATCTTTGGTAATGCCTACATTATAATTTCCTGTTGCACTAAAAAAATAAGTAAAATAGCTCCTAAAAAGAATTCAACACATCAAAGCAATTCAATTTCAGAGAAATCGACCAAAGTAACGCACTTGTTAGTTTGTCAGCTAGCCATAGCAGATCTTCTAGGTTGTTTATATCTTTTAATCATAGCGTGTGCCGATATTTATTATAGTTATCAATATCCGGCTATTTATCAAGTTCACCAACCTAAAAATTTCACTAACATATGGGTACTGAGTCCATTTTGTTACATTGCCAAATATTGTTTCTTTACATCATCTATTGCATCCATTTCCATTACGCTCTTAATCACTTTTGATCGCTTTATGGCCGTTATTTTTCCTTACAGTAGATTCAGATTAGACAAATACAAGTGTTACTTTATAATTCCAACATTGTGGTGCTTGCTTTGCTGTTATGGTTGTATACCACTCGTAATAGGGACAAAAGCGATTGACCAAGCAACAAAGACATTTAATTTTGCCAGTAATTTGTGTATTTATAAACAAAATACTTCAGGCTACAAGCTATTTCTTCATTTCAGAGTAGGGATCTATTTTACGTTTTGTACTTTAATCACTTTAGGTTATATTTGCATTATCATTAACGTTCGAGCTAAGAGCAGCAAAGTTTCCACTCAAATAAATCGAATTGAACGTCGAATCTTAGCTATGATGATCATCATTACCGCAAGCAATATTGCCAGCTTACTACCATCCACAATTTTATTTACAAGTCCAGATTTTAAGAAATTTAGTTCTTATAGATCTTTTGAACAGAATAGATCATCAGAAATAAATGGAACTTCAGGTCGGAACGGATTGATGGATGGAAATGAGTTATTAGATTGGATTGGATTGCCTAATACGAATAAGTCATTTACTTTGAACGCAACATCTGGATGGCATCCATTGTCTAGAACCAATGAATCATCTAGCTGGAATGGAAAGCAGGGACTGAATAATTCAACACGATGGAATATCTTATCAAGAAGCGATAATTTTAATAATTTAACAAGGACTGAAAAAGGCTCCAAAAGTCAGGAACGTTCGTCACAAATGCAGCAATTAAATGGATGGTACCAAATTTCTCTGGCCTTAGTCAGTGCTACAGTTTTTACCTTTGTTAACGCTGTAATAAACCCGGTGATTTTTGCATACTTCTCATGGTCCACTAGCCATCGTAAATGGTTCTGCTGTAATATAAATCTAAGTTCAAAGCAAAACGTCATGAATGCAATTTGGTCTAAACATTTGCCCTATAAAAAATGGGTGCTCATCAAGGCAGGATAAGAAAAAAAATCGTATAGCAGCTAAAACTATTTTATCATAGACGGATAGTTAAAAGTCTGTTTGATGCTATAGCCTTAGTTATAAGAATCCGTAAAATGAGTTAAACTGTCAATTTTAACAGTATTAAATCTAAGCATGAGAACTATTAAAGGTCAATTAGTTTCAAAGATGGCTAACGGTTACGCAATTAAGCTAACACATTTTTCGATTATGTTATAAATCCCTTAAAGAAAGCTCTAATAAACTTCATCTAAGTCGATCATGAAAGTGAAATACTATAAATAATTTTTTTCAATAACTTCAATGTTTGAAGGTCTAAAATTATCAAGTATTACATTAACCCTATGCTAAAAATATCTAGACAAATTAGAAAAACAGGAAGAATCAAATTTTAATTCCTGCTAATAATTAAATAAAAACTAGCGTGACCCAGTAGAAATTTCACTTTTTCTTTAACAGGATTTATTCAATTTTATTGACCTAATGAACGAGCGAACAAGAATTATAATAAAATCCTTGCATTTTGACTCCTTGTAGGCTAGAAAAAATTGATTGTTTGGATACTCTTCTAATTTTATATACTATCTCGATCATCATTTCGCTGATACATGTAGCTAAGAGTATATACTGTAGACTGAATATACAGTTCATATGGCAGGCATTCAACACTTCTCTTATCATACTCATACATTAGTCCATTAATAAGTGGCTATTAATTCGATTGTGACGGTGTGATAAAGTGTCTTCTTATAAATAAAACAAGAAGTAAAGTTACTTGTGAACTTGACTTCATTACATAAGTTAGGTTTGTCTAAGTACTACCAATGACTATCTCTGGACTATCTAAATTGCCACAGCAATATTCACCATTGATATACTATTAGTTACAAAAGGATTTTCCTTTGAATGCAATCATATCTTACCAATTAAGTCACAAGATTATATTGAAATTTCCCTATTGTGCTTTCAGTTCATAATTCACGCTTTTAATTAAAGCGTTAAAATAAAAACCTGACTTTACTAACATAATTAGCGCCATTTATTGGTTATCTTGGTATCTTATTATAAACATCTCTACGGATTTAAAACAATATGTACTATAATCTGCTTCTACAAATAGACACTTATACAATCCAATAGCCTTAGTCTTAGATATATAATAAGCCTGTAAATACTGTACAGTATTAATGCCTAGAATATTTAATTTAATTTTTGATTAACTTCGGGGCATTGATATGGCAAAGGATTCAATTCTATAAAGGCTTGATTATTAATTCTCAATATCAGTTCCACTGAGGCTAACATAGAGTACACTGGTACTAACGTAAAGTAGCTAGAAGCATGTAAATTATTTAACCTAAATTCACGTCGTTCGAATCAGTTCTTTAGTATTAGAACATGTTAGCTTTCATATAGAGGATCTCTCGAAGTTAATCGCAGATTAAGTAGAGCACATAGACTAGTTCAACTCCGATTACAAAACTGGTTTGTGACAGCTTTTCATAAAGTAAACATATTATTTTAAAGTAATTATTCAGTTAAGAACAAATCTTAATCGGAATTACTTTTATTGGTACTCCTAAGCATGGTGTAACTGTAACCGTAGGTAGCGAATTCTAATTGAACAAGAAATGAGTATCACTTTTTTAAGGTTAGTTAATGATTTAGTTGCCCATCACTTTTAACTATGACCCTATTTATGATTATGTTGAAGAGCTAACTTTTCGATAATAATTCTGAGCTACCGAAATTACATTAATTATATTAGTTAAAGTTTTATAGGAAACTGACTAATCAAGAATTGATAAACATAAATCTTGTAAGGTAAAAAGAGACTAATTTCGATATTATCCGGGTAAGAAAACATGGATAAAAGTTTCGTTGTCATGGGATTTCAAATTTTTGGCTAGCTCTATCATAGCCCTCTAACCAGCCATATAGCTGTACTGTATATAATATCTGCCACGATACACGATATCGTAGTATCCGTCCATACTGGTATGTGTACATTAGAGACCTTCTATTCTTCAAAGTCTGCGAATAAGAAATGTCATGCCCGGTAATTTAATTGCAATAGTCAGTGGAGCGCTTGAGGTCCGCAGTACGGCCATGGTGGGGTTTTGTGCTACCGTACTGTCGTAAGAAGGATTCATGCTACTAGTAGTACAGCGGGATTGACTAGGGTGGCACTAAGGAAAATAAACTATGTAGGCTAAATCAAGCCCAAAGTAGATAAAATCTTATATGTACCTGTACATATAGATTTTGAACATGAGTGTTGAAAAATTGCAACTTTAAATTTTCGACGCCATCTTGCCATCGAAGTCTATCCCGCTGCTGTACAGTATTACAGTACGTACAGTGTACAGTGTACAGTACTATGCACCGTAGTACCATACTGTATAAAAACGGTTGCGAGTTGCTCATACCCCGAGACATAGCGAAGGTTCGCCGGCAAAGCTACATACGGGAAAGGAGATTGTCTAATCTCGAGATTTTCCAACTCGCTTTGGGGAAAGTCCCCGGACAAACTTTGCAGAAAGTGCTGACCATAAAGGTCAATCGGCAATTGGGCAAGATTTAGCCAAGAAGCTTTACAGCTGAGCGTACAAATTTTGCCCATTCTGCCAAGTTGTCGAAGCACAGTCATGCGAACGAGCGTGCACTCATCTCGAGTCCATGCTTAACACAACGGGGCTTATTCTCGTTATGTCTCCGTTTTTTCTTCAATTTAAGAAAGGATCTGAAAACTTGGATAATCATAATGGTATCATTATCATGTTTCTATATTCTACAGTACAGTAGCATGAAATGAGTGGATAGGAAATGAAATTGAAATAGTTTTGACTTGATATTCAGCTGCAATGGCTGAATCTTACCGCACTAATCCGCTTACTTTCCGTTTAGGCCATGTGCCATTTGGACATACATACTGTACAGTACTGTAATTAACATTGATTGCTGTACTAGTGACGTCGGGTTGTACCATGGGCTTGTCTGGTGGGGTGGTACTCAATTGTACTGTACACTGTGCACTGTACAGTACGTTATTGCACTACCCATTCGCAATTCCAGTGACCACACCATAGTAATCGCTGTCCTAACCACTTCTATGAGCAAGTTTCTCCCGCCGTAGCATGGACTTGTACTGTACACTGTAGCGTAATACACTCAGTGATGTCAAGCGTTTGGTTCGAATCGGCTTCAAGGGGACCACTAAGGTAGACGAAACACTACCTAATCAGTGGACAGTAGCCTAGTGTCAACCACAGCCAACGTATCTGCTGTCGGCTGTGGTAGAGTATTCCGTTATAATTAATCGATTGACGGCCCTGATCGATCCATTCGATGAACTTTTCTCTGGATCTTAGCACCACATCGACTTAAACCTTCAAAAAGAGATTGAAGAATCGGTTAGTAGAGCATTTTAATATTTCTACGGTATATTCAATTCAATGCCATACACATGATATAGACAAACGTATGAGTATTGATCATTTGCTGGAGAAAAAATTACCCTTTTACAGCAGATATAACAGGTAATAAAGTGAAAATAGACCAGGATAACTTAATCATTCTAATCATACGGTAGTGAATACAACTTTGATCCACTAAAATGTGTTTGGTTACTGTCAGTGGATGATGTTGACAGGTGTTGTGAATACCTTGGAAAGGTAGATAGATATTTTCTTACCAGCCAGCAGTAGAAAAAGAGTGGTTAAATGAACGAGTGAGTAATCTGTGTTTGATATCGTTGACTCAGCGGGTGATAACTTTGCCAACTTTCTTTGCTAGGCTTTGTTACTCAATAACGTTCCGTTACTCTTTTACTATATTCTGTAAGCAAGCAAATGGCGATCATTGCGTGCCGTTGTAGTTAGCACAACAGTAAGAAAGGATACTACAAATTTAATACAGGATAGATTGACTTGTTAAGATGAACAAATACTATTAGAGAATACAGTCATTGTAGTCCTTGATGACGATGGACATTGCATTCCATTTTGTCGTTATTTCAATTCTGATTTCGGTCATGTCTCATTGCTATTCGATTGGACAGCCGATTTATCCTCCCTTTGACGGCTCGATGTAAAGTAATGGACGTTGTTGCGTGTTGCAATATCGATGTTTAGACGGCTAACCGTGGGCGACTAGATTCTGAAACACTTAATAAATGTCTACGTCGTGTATACTGTATTTGACCAAGCCAGCCATTTTTTTAACGTCAAAGTATTGCAAGACTATTGAATCCGTATTAATGCGTTTTATCATTGGTGAATCTAAACCAAAATCTGTTATTACTCATCAACTGGAACTGGAAACATGACGTCAGACTTGCACATGGATGATAAAACGTTGTCACCTCCAGCATAGCTGCTTATGAGATGGAACTATATTAGTCTACCAGTCACAGATTGAATACTAGAGTAGTTTTACCCATTCTGTTGACAGATTAATTACATATAATTATACGCGCTAACATTAAGCCACATGTTAGGAAGTAAAAAAATGATCTTCCAATCGAGCTCAGCTGTTTTTGTAATAGTCAAACGCTAAAGGTACTATTGAGTTAAGGTTTGTTTGCTACAACAACTGTCATTACTGTAATAAATTTCAAATTTTATAAATTAAACCTCTTTACTAAATCGTTTGCCAATCATATTGTTTGTTCAATAGACGTACAGCAGATTAAACTAATATTACGGTCGTATGCGTTTATAATCTCGAACGGTAATGATGCATTTAGTCGATATGCTAATGTGATGTAGTAACTAATGCATCGCAAGGTAATTTATTCGACGAAAGAACACAATTTATGACGCAATTAATTTATTTGAAAGTGCAGCAATACTACTAAATTTTGGTCTTGCTGTTTATGATTTCCGTTAAATCACATATTACTAGCTCTTTGATTTCTACTATTTCGTGATTTCGGCAATCAAAGTACTGTATTCGGGTATTTTCAATGTTGTGATCCATGGCCGTGTATAGAGTAATCATAGATTTAAAGAGGATTGATTGATTGATAGTTTCAAATCTTAGCTAATCGAATCAGAAATTAAGAAATTATCCTATATGGCTATATCACATCACTATACATTATATAAGTAATTATAGGTTTGGTATTATACATTGTAATACATTTCAGTAACGACCAAATTAAAAAATTTATGGATACCATCTATTGAAATGGCGAGATCCTCAGTGTAGATAGTACATTTAATGATTTTTGTTGCCTCGACAGTAATGTACACCTACATACGAGTACATGGGTAACCATCCTCGGTATTCGAGTATGTTTTCCATGCACAGATAATAATGCATATTATTTTGTCATGCTCAGCAATGTCAGGTAGATTTCAAGTAAAATTGGACGTGACGAAGATCGTCCATAGGGCAAAGCCGACATCGATGTCGCTTCATGATCGGTAAGCTAGCTATTTTAAGTTTTTACTCTATACTTATTCACTATTGCATGTTACTGACCCACGTATAAAATCTGTTATACTAGATATACAAGCTGATACTTGTTAATTGTAATATGATACTGCAATATTTAAATTAGATCTCTCAGATATTAGTTGCTGTGGCAGAACACTGCGTTCTTGTAATGCCGCTGTTACAGATTATGTCACTTAATGATTATCTCACACTGCACTGTATGATTACAAACCGTTATCAGGTTTACGAAGATAAAAGCTGCAAGCTCCATGGAGACTGGAGTCACGAAGCGGGTAAATGACCGTGTCGCAAGTGCAAAAAATCGTCGGCTGGCGCTGCAGCTATCAAAGCGAACAGGTGCTCAGGCCGCAGTCAGATCAACTGGCAACTTGTCTAATCGATTCGGTGCAATAAACAAGAATGTAGGTGCTGCTACCAACACCAGGGATGCTAGATATAGGCTTAATGAACGTACAAATCGCTCCAGCAGGCCATCAAGTCAAGGTGACGTAAAGTCGCGCTTAGGATATCCGAGCAATAGACGTGGAAGTCCTACTAAGCGTGGAAGTGGCGGACGTGGCATGCGTGGCAACTGGGTTAGACGTGGTCGTCAAGGACGAATTGGTGGCCGAGGACTTGGAAGAGGTGCTTATCAGAACGATTGGAATCCCACAAACAATAATTCTCATTATAATGAAAACAGTGCTGGTTATCAAAAGCAGCGTGGCAATAAAAGCAATAGTAATAGAGCAGAATATCCATCCAGGAATCGAGGCAGACGTGGTAGAGGTGGAAGGAATCGTCGTGGACGAAGAAATGGTAGAGATACTAGAAATAACTTCGAGAGTAAGGACAACAACGGTGGCGATATCAGCATTCAGATCTCAAATGATCGTAGCGAGGAGCAAGATGATAAAGCACGAATAGAAGATGATTTAGATGACTACAGGAATGATGAAGAAGTAGTTGGTGATGATAATGAAGAAGATGAAGCCCCCTTGGAGGAAGAAATGGAGACCGAGATTGACTAATTTTCGTTGAGATCTTTTGTTCTTGTACAAATTTATTCGTAGGGTATAAATCGTTATCAATTGCACGTTCTCTTTTTATTTTATAATCACAGGCTCCATAATAGTTATACTTGCGTATAGATAGCTACCACTACACTACCGGCATACTATTGTAATGAAGTTACGGTGGATAAGGCAAAAATGGATAAATAGAACATACTTTTCAGAGTCGCACACATAAGTGTAATTTACTCGGTACAGTTATAAACTGTATCATACTTGTATCAGTTAGGACATGGACCTGAGTTGATAATGTGAAACAGCTATCATAACAATTAAAGAATTAATATACTCGTACTTGTCAGCAGTACAGCCATCCTTATAGCGTTTACGGTAACCATTCAATCATGTGTCTTGATACACACATTTAAAATCGGGTTAAATTATTAGTTATTATTAGCTATTAATAGCTAAAAAGTAGGCGGTTAAAATGTAACATTCCAGATGTTGTTTCGCAATTCTTGTTGCAAAGTGTATGTTCTTAACTCTGCAAGATCGTGTTTATGTTAATTTAATTTTTATTTTGAATATTCAATGTACAGCGCTACGGTTTTCTGTTAATTTAAACGTATTTATATGTAAACTCATGGACAAATTGCTGCGACTTTTCTACTGTGATACTGTATTGATATCGATGTTACTGTTAGTCGTATGGCTGCAGTTAATTGTTAGACAAAATACTGGATTCATAACTGTTAAAACTATTGATCTTTGATCTGTTTTAACAATTTTTACTACTTAGCGTTTACTCATAATTTTATAATAAAATTTAGTTAGGAGTATTAAGTTGATCGAAGTTGTTTGCAGTCCATATCTCGGACATTAACTATACACATACGCCTTAAAAGATGAGCTTACTAATTAATTGATAACATTATTCCCACAGTTATCAGCAAATACTAAGACGACATTGGAAGTTATTCAACCATTTCAAATACCTCTACAACAACAATGACGACAAATGTGCATTTATTCAATCCCAGTAAATGTCTTTTAATTGAATCTTTCGTGCTAATATATAACACTACTTCTCATGTCTCATACAAATAATAATACACTGAGCCGAATGGGAATCGGTCGTATGCAATTCTCTCTCACAGGGTACAATTAATTTCACCATTAGATAATTGTAAATTATGATGATATCGAGAAAATACAATAGCATCTCAATAATCTCGAACCAGCGCTTTACGTAGCTTATCCAATGAGCGCTGTATCCGCTAAAGCATTATTAGAATTTTTATTGAAAATTGTTCAAGTTTCTAACTACAATCACATCAAACGAGTTTAAATACTACACGCTACAAAGTGTCTTTATAATCAATCTTTCCAATAAAAAAGTTCCATAGCGATATCATGCACCGCTCTAGAGAGTCAATTGTAATTAATTAATATTACAAAGTACCATGACTAAGTCTAATGTACTAGTGTGATCAAGCTTGTTATCACCATCCAGTTAGTCGATGAATTTCATCACTTGCTTCCTCTCATAGTTAGCTGATAACAATACTTTTTTCATTTTATTGTTCCCTAGCTGATTTAAAAATTTCCTCCTATCGCACTTCTTCAAGACTAACATTGAAATGGAACATAACCTTAAAAGAACTTCTTAGCAGAAGCTTCCTGCCGTTGCCTATAAGCATTGTAACCAATAACGAGGAAGAGCTGAAGAAGCATTAAAACTGACATCCCGAACATTCCAACGCAACTAACTGTCGGACAATCGCCACCTTGTTGGCTCTTGTTCTCCAACTGTAATTATATGGCAGAGCGATAATGCAAATTAGCAATTAAAATTACCTCTTATTCTATTCAAAAGTTTGCGGTACAGCAAAATTTATTCAATAAGAGTAAATTCTGTTCACGTCAAACGTTAGCCAAAAGGGCAATTTTGAAAGTCTAGCAATTTACCATAAGTTTAATAGCTGCAACCTCCTGCATAACGCTCTGCAGATTATCTATTGCTTCCCCTCCTTGACCTCCATTTTTGCTTCCAACTTTATTATTTATGTTATCTATGGTTGTTCTAAACAAAATCGTATTTTACGTAAAAGTATAAGAATTAAATGGCTATTAACAATCATGGGATAAACTCGATAGCTATACCGTAATGTGTACCTCAGATTCTTTACGTCAGTTACAAGATCTTTTTGCATTTGTGATACTGATTGTAAGGCATTTCCCTGATTTGCACCCGAAGAACCTTTCATAATCTCACTGAAGCCATCAAACTTTTTTTGCAATGTCCTAAAAGCAATATAAAAAAAAATATCGTATTATCATCCAAAAATCAAATACAGCATATCTATAATTTCCGCTAACGTTATTCTTGAACCAATTTCGTGATTAGCCGCGAGCAGTTGCATGAAACTGCGTTCCACATGTCCTTGCATCTATTTACAATGTCATTTAGCAAGTAAAAAATGTCAATAGTATTGCAAAGGCTAGTCTTCAGTTTGCTATGCTCGTATACTTAACAAGCATAATTTGTACCAAAATATCATCCAAACATTTAATCCTACCGAATCTTCTTCATCTGTGAATTTCTCCGGATGCTCTTTCTTATATCTATATATAAAATTTGAATTTATGCACTAATTGCATGGATCTATTAACCGTAAATGATCGTTACTTCTCTCTGCGTTTTTCGAATTCTTCACTAAATTCCGTGTACTGCTTCTTAGATTTATCACCTTCCACAACATCAGCAGCTTTAGGCGCTTCCTAATTTAATAGTATCAGCATTAGTAAATTCATAAAAGTTACACTTTCTCATTACTAAATGTAATGCAACAAAAATAGAAGCACATACAGCTTGTGTCCTCAAAGACCACGTTAAAAAGGATATAATATCATGATCATCTAAAGAATAGGAAGTACAAGGTAATTCGAAAAATGGAAGATATAATTATATTTAAACCAAATTATAGCCTAAAACTACAGTATAATTGTTATAGTAAAGTATAAATAATTATAGCAGACTTAACGTTACCTGCTAATCCACCAGTTGCTGCTGACGCACCAAAATAACCATTAGGTGCGATATCAACATTATCAACTTTAAAACACACCTCCAAATCATTGTCTTCATCGCTTAATCCGTTGTTGATTAGTAACTATTCAGAGGGTCCAGTTGAAGAAATTGTTAAATTAAAACTATAAACTGACATATACATGTAACTCACCGAAAGAGTTGATTTTTCATATCTAATAATAGTTTTAATCGGAAAAGGTCGATTTCGATAATCTCTCATACAACCACCTATTGCTTGTGAAGACCCATCACTATTTGAAAGATAAAAGAATTATTGCCTTAACACTTTATTACTATATAATTTTCTAAACAAGCATTAATTTCACTCGATTATGCTACAGGCAGTAATCACAATCGTAACAATTATCACACTATCGATCGTAATAGAAATTAGGTCCAAGTCTTGTACCTGGTATGATCAAAAGATTTTGTCCCATCATTCACGACAGCCATGATATACGGATTATTATGCTAATGAAAATGTACAGTGTTAATCTTATATCGGCTGAATATCATCAAAGCTATAGAAAATTCTGTAATAGTTTATAGTAATTATCCATGCAGCAAAACATTTTAAAGTTTGCCAACTAGTTATCGAACTATAGGATAACTTTTAAATTAATTCCAGTCATTCCATCTAACCTGTCCATCGTTATCAAATGAATCGAAAAATATACCAAGTCCTTTCCATTTATCTTCACTTCCGAATACGGGCCCTACATTGCCTGGTTTTTCTGTAAACCACAGAGCCTGAAAATTTAACAGAACACAAGCATTTCACTCATGATCAGATCAGCACAATAAGGTTAAAATGAAATCTACAGTATATAACCACATTAATAACTACTTCCCGAACAAGTAGTAAACGAAAAGATAAGGGTTAGCTACGGTAAGGTGTACATCAGTACCCCTAAACCTATAATATAGCAGCATATAATACTGCGAGGTATATTGATATATATACGTGTAAACCTATAGATAACTGAAGATTTGCCTTCCGTCGGTAACACATAGTTGTGCACCACACTGATACCTCATTAGAATACAATTCGTACGCAATGTTCAAGTAATATACGTATATAATTTATTTCTTGAGTGATGCAGTTACTTTGTAGCACTACAGCAATACGATTTAGATGAAGGGTACTATATTCCGGTTAAAAACGATAAAGTAACCCAGTAACGATCAATTTGATATTATAAATATTCAAAAATTATCCATACAATATTCCGTAGGCAATCAATTTTATGCGTCTTTCATTATGATGGTACTGTAACAACTTCAATTTAATAACATACCAGACCATCAGCACCAACGCGACCACGTCCAGTAATTCTGAAGTTTACTTGTACTTCCCAAGATTTCGAAGAAAAGGCGTTTTTGGTCCATACAACTCCTATAAAATACATATCATCACAATAATAAGTAGCTAATTGACCAAACATCGTGGTGGCATGCTGTGATGCAAGTATCATCGAGGTACGACACTGACATAGGATATGAACATATTTGTACTGTGGCGGATCAAAAATTCAAGTAGAAGTAATAAGAAGTCCATGAAAGCTACAAGTACCTCTTTTACTACGAATTGAGGGAACCAATCTTAACTGTTCTTTACTCGGTATGGCATCTGATAAAGGAATGGAAGAAATTTGTCAAAATATTATTCATTTTTCAATAGCTAAGACAACAGGACTTACAGGCTATCTGAATAAAACAATTTCAAAATAATAACAATTAATAATTATAATTATCATAAACTGGAGTGCGGTACTGTCTTTAGAAAGGTATTTTTTATCGAGATCTTGTGTAGGCTATGTCCATGATGGACAATGTTCGTTTCATACACCATAGAAAAGCCTGGATTGTAGCTTAAGTATTTTAAAGGTAAGTATGTGAGAAATCATCTACTTTATCATAACCTAATCTATACACTATAAAATCATTGTGGCCGAATCTTGTTTTCCCTATACAGTACAGCAGGTAGTCTAATCGTAAGATAGAATCTAATTGATTGTAACAAGGAAACGTAGAGTCAGCAGCAAATCTGTTGAAATTAATTGTCTTGAACTATTTACTACAGTATTACGGTCTTTGGGCATAATTAATGTATCTTTGGAACTGACTTGAAATAATTACTGACAAATTCTTCGAGAATCTAAATCTTATAAGAGCCATATTAAATAACTATTTTCACTGATCCTTCTTTGTCCTTATTTTCCATACAAGGATTTAACTGGCGCACGGTTGCTATCACGGCGTCTACGGTTTACGACTGTATGCGTTAGGTACTAACATTTTGTTACAGACCTATGCAGTACAAAACAGTATTGTCCCTTGAGCTCATGAGTTAAATCATAGTTAATAAACCATGGTTTACGATAGTTTACGGTAGACTTTAGTATGATGCCTACTGTGCGTCGCGGACTTGTATTTCTATAACTAAAAATGTCTGGCAAGTTCTTAAGCCATCAATTACTAAATCCCATGTAGAGTTATTTATTTATACCGATATCATCTTATCAAATCAACTCGATAGTTCGTTATTAACGCGTTACACTAACAAATGAGAATGCCGATACACTGTACTGTACATTGTACAAGTGTACAAGTACCAGTAGTGTACTGAATGTTCACATGGATATCATTACACTGCATGCACTAGACTAAGCAAGGACTATGATAGTCTTGCCAAGATGAAAAACGCTACCAATCGTCTAAATTTACATAAAGATTTCAATTCGATTTGCTTTAGTAAATTAGGGCAACGTAAGCCAATTTTAGATATTTTGTTGTAAACCATTTCTACTAATAGTACATGTGTTCCAATTCTTGTACAAATGCCTTAAAATATAACTTGTGTAGCGAACATCAGTCTGTTAACGCGTAACATTACTGTAGAGTAGCCTTACAGTTCTGATTAAAGAATAGGTTTACCAATTCGATATCAATTTCTATATTCTCATACATACCTCCGGAGAAAGACCAGAATGGAATTAATCCTTTAGGAGTGATTAAATTCGGTCCTTTAAAGCTATATTTATACTCGAATCGCTTAATTTGAAATTCGGCTACACTAACGTGAATCAAGAAAGCTGAAACTACGATAATTGATAGAAGTAACTTATGATTTATATCAATCATTTTTGTGACCAATATTTCATACGAATACAATGCTTCTTTTCTTTGGCTGAAACTAACTCTAATATACGCTATTAAGACTTAAAATGAAATAGGATCAAAGAAGGCAACAGCTCAATTAATAGTATCCAACTAAAGTATAGTATACTACGGATTACTGCTGCACTATGTGCAACTACACCAGCTAAATGATATAACTCTGGGTTATTCAATGAAATTATTGAAATAATGGATATTGTTTGACTAGTTTTGTTTTTTGTCATGTATCGTACAGTAGCGTACCTTTGGAAAGGGATAGTATAGAACTCTACAGTACGGCTGTTGTTACTTGTACTACTGTACACTGTATACTGTACCAGTACTGCATGTACAGTACTGTACAGTACTTTCCACTCTGTACTACAGTATACAGTACAGTATATTGTACTGGACAGTACAGTAGCACATTGTGCAGTTTGCACTTGACGCTTGAGTGTTGGTTGATTCCTGTGTCACTATGAAGTATGAACAGTGCACTGTACACTGAACTGTTATTTTCGATGGCACCCCTTCGCTTGTATTCCGTTGAGATTCCTGTATAATATTTACATATACCCGTAGAAGGATATGTCCACATTAGGCTACAACTGCATATACTGTAGAATTGATCTAGTTTGGGCTTGATTTAACTTCCACAATTACAGTACAGTATATCTTTTCAGGGTGCCATCGAAACTAATCAGACTGTACTGTACAGTATACTGTACTGTACAGTGTACAGTACTGTACAGTACGAGAAGTGATGTGGCGAATGGTGATTGGTCCAATCTAGTCGAATCCGTACACGTCTTTTCACTCATTCATACGAATAATATCAACCATTGAAGTTTGTGGTCGTCTGTGTGTCAAATTCATAATACTGTACAGTATATCAACTTGTCAATATGGCCCCCATTTACTCTGCTAAATCACCTAATCTCTTCCCCTGCTCCACTTGAGTTTCAATCATGATCCGAATCGAACCTACTGTAAAAGCTCAAAGCCAGCACTTACCATCTACACCAAATATAAATTGTAGAAAAATACACAAGTATTTTAACGACTGAACCATGGAGGCTTGGACTACCTTTCTGTCGTAAAGCAGTGCTGTAGTTCGTTTTTAGTAGTCCATGACTGTCCTGTTATAAATCAAGTACGCATCCATTTAAATCAACAATAGGATTATATCGAGCACTGCTTTACAGTACGCCTGCGAACATTATTGTACTGTGAATCGGTGCTGTGTCCAGGATTCATTGAATCAAAATTGCTATCATCTAGCCTGTTTGTGTAAGCGATAATACTAGCCATTGAATCAAAGTTACCATTCAGTATAATTTAGTCCGTTTCTGGACGCGATAATACCACGATAAAATTTTTAATTTATAACGGAACAAGATTAGAAGAATAATAACATATACTGTAAATTAGGGATCAATTCTATTTCACTGGATCCGCTGAATCCGCAGAGCTTAGTAACAGCCAATGGAATACAATATATATACTGTACTATAATTACTTCATTTAGAAAAAAATCAGTCCATTTAGAATCGACTGTCTGCTTACTAGTGTAAAGTGCTGTCATAATGAAGCGTTTGACACAATTTGTTAACCAAAGTAGGCTAAATGTCTGTCCGTCCAAAGGAGTGTCCAATCCAGGTATTTTTTCAAAGTAAGTGTACAGTACTGTGTACATTGTACAACTTAACATACTCTACTGTACACTGTACTGCACATAACCTACAGGACACTCTTTGCTCGTTGCGATATAGTGATGATGGACACTTGACACTTTCCAAATGGATTATAGTTTCCAGATATTCAAAGAATGATGGCTGCAGCTTCCGAACTTCGTTTGAAGGTTAGTACGGAAAAATGACTTAACAAAACGAAATGTAGCCATCTCAATTCCGATCTGATTTATGTAATAAAGTCACTGCAATTTTCTGACAGCAGACTATCCACACTGCAGAAATACCAGTACACTCCCTTACGAGATCAAATTTGCAAAGAAAGACTTCAGCAGTATACACTATGTTCAATTTATATGCGAGTATGTTATACATTGTAGTAATTATACAGTACATTGCTACGCTCAGTGTTCTGTTGGCGCTTTTTGTATTTCGTGGATGATTTATTGTACATGTACGTTGTACAGCATGGGCAATTGTTTATGATATGGTCATGGGTTACTACTGCATATTTAGTGATCAATGGTTACTGTACTTAGCTGTAAAGCGATGAAATTCCCTTTTGACTAGAGCGCCTCAAATCCTTCTGCTACCACTGATGCAAAACACTTTATACGCGTGTTTAGTCTTGTTAACACTGACATCACATGAGATATTTTAAGTACTCAAGGATGCATTCGAAAGATAGTGATTGTATTATACCATTAGGGTTCCCTTGTAATACTTCGTCTACTAAATACCACATCTGTTACAATGATTGAAATTAAAACCTATATTCATTTTAATTTTTTCAGGTAGTAGGCCTATATCGGTCACTATATCGCACTAGACAAGAATTATTCCATGGTGATCAAGTAGCACTTACAGGTGAGTAATAACGATTTCAATTATTGTACATACTTACTGTACGTGCACGTTCACTATTGTACTCGTATATACTGCAACACACATTAAATCCTTCCTGTACTTGAGCTGTTACTTTACCTACAGTGGAGAATACAGTATCGAAATAATATTTTATTTTATAGTCAATAGAACTAATGAAACTGCTAGTACACTCACTATTCTATTTGCAACCTCTACTACTGCATAGTATAGTATATTTAAAAACTCATCAGGCAATGACTATTTTTGTTCTATCTTTGTTACCTCCCAATTAGTTTCCTTGCAGAAATTGAGACATGGATTTTTAGAGAACAAAAATGAAGCTGACCCCGAAAAGATTAAAAATGTTAGTAAAAATATAACTTATTCTATATTCTTTCATCATCTGTAGCCAATTTTTAATTTCTTAAATAAGCTGCTTCACAACCAGGTAATAACTAATACATAATTTACAATTATAATTGCTCTCCCTTTCTAAAGGCGATATACGCGTATTACAAGTATAAAAGGCAAACTTATATCATCTAAATGACATATAGGATTTGCTAGCAAAGCTTAAATGCTTATCATCGGCAGAAAAAGAATTTAAATATAATATTTATTCTATTATATTCATATCTGCATAGCTAATCAAGCTTGGAGAAGAAGTAAATTACTTACTGAAACATAAGACTGTCCAATGTCAACTAAACAATACAGGAAACTATGGTAAATTTACTTTAAGTACAATTAGTGTAAATCTAAATTTTGACGAAATATAGCATGCTTCTCATGTACACTATCTTTACGTTGAAAGCAAAAATTATATCCTTCCATCGTAGGATTGATATTTCCACTGCATTCTGTAAACATAATTGCTTTAAATCTAAAGTTTTGCAATTTAATGCTTGCTTACATTTATAATATATCGAAAGTAACCGTAGTCTTTATTACTTTATTTCAAACGCCCAATCTTCATGAATACTGTACATTAGAATTAACGACCACGTTTTATTTGATAAATTTTACTACAGTGCCAACTCACAATGTTACAAAGAGAATGAGATAAAATAATATTAATTTCATTATTTCTATTTTAGAAATGAAAATCAGAAAGGACACGACACTTTTGGATAATGCTGTCTATCCAAATGACAAAAGATGATGCTTACAGCTGTTTTTCGGAACGTGATAATTAAACTAACAAAATATTATTCATACTATGGGCATGAATTAAGCTGGCATATACAATATAGAAAATGCCGATAAGATCATAATTACTTTAGGTTGCGTGGTGATGTGTTGAAATATTTTTGTCACGGCTTAACCATAACTGCATGTAATATATTATTACCAATAGTAAATAGTAGGTCGCTAGGTAGAAATGGAACTATAAGTACGTAACTACCGACTAGTAATAGAATTATGAAGTTATTAACGTCCATTCTACTTTACAAAGCCAATAGTATTGTATACATGATGCCGTAACAACCATGTATGTACAGTATATGTATGACTGTATGTATATACGTACGTTGATGTAATAATTACTACGCAAGCTACTATGTTATTTTAGCATGTTATTTATGAAATTATTAAAGCCAAAATCAGGCGCATTGATAAAAACCAAACGAATGACTGCTATTGATTTATGTACATTGCACAGTCTAAACTTTTATCTACCTTCCTATGCAATCGATTGTTGGTATTTTCACTTCGAATATACACATGGCTATGCTATTTACAATGTAGTCGGTGCATAAAGAACACACGAACAATAGCCAAATAGACATTAAACCGACCTCGGAAAATCAATTTTGCTAATAGTATCTCGAATTAATCCTAAAAGCTCCGAATGCTGATGAGGACTTTCGAGTATGACTTCATGTAATTTGCTCATATATGCATCAATTGTATTAATTGATGGAGGGCTATCGATCCCAGGAATTTCAATATTAGTGAAGCAATGTACTAGAGATGACCGCAAATCTTCCAAATGATTTTCCAGTAATATATTATGATTTCTCTGCTGCTCCGCTTCACTTTCTAATTTTTGCAAGGCATCTTTCATTTGTTCGATATGCTTACTCAAGATAGCGTTACGCTCCTCATAGTCAGCATTAGATTTTCGTAATTGACGTAATTCAACTTCCCGTGCTACATTTTAAAAGCAGAAACTAGATTACAGCTTGAAAATTATAGGTTAACCTTAGCTGAATATATCTGAGTACCTTTATTCTCGTCTAGGAATTCTTCAGTAAAAACTGGAGTACCAATATTAAGTCCACTGTTATCCTCTCTTTTGTCAGATTGATAATTCCCTTCCCTTCGTCCTTGATACTATTTATAATCATGAAGTGAGAGATTCCTCCAGTTACATTAAACTAAGACAATAAGCTATATGCTAACTCTTATATCATGTTTTAGGCAACAAGAATATAATTGATACAGTAAGTTGATAAATAACTTACCGAATGTTCAGAAAGTCCTGGTTCTCTGCTATCACTATCTGTTGTCAAAAATATTACACATTATTCCAAATATCACTAGGCATAGACTTGCTACTACACAGCTGCAAGATAAAGCTAACCAACCTCGATGTCTCTTGTAGGAATTCTTCTTAACAAATGTCTTATAAGTCTCACTTTTTTCATAGTCCTCTAATTCTTTAAGGTATCTCTCTTTATCTTTTTCAGCTTCGTCTAAATACCTCTGTGCAAATAAGAAAATGATGCGTAATCAAAATATCGCACTAAAATTAAAGACAACAACAAATACAATTTACAAACACACCAAAACATATAAGACATCATAAAAGATGACCGGTCGGTTTAAGCAGACTAACATGAGCTATTTTATAAAAGCAATAGTAAGACGAACTAGAGTATAATAAGAATTTGCTTAAACCTGTTTTTCACTTATCGGTAGCGAGCTCCATTTTGTACCAAGTATTTTAGTAATTTCAGAAAATGGCAGATCGGGATTTTCTGCTCTTACTTTTTCACGACTATCATTTAGAAATCTGACGTATCCAGTATGTGGAGCCTTAGGTGCATTTGAGTCTTTACTAGAAAATCTCTTACGCTTACGACCTTTCGGCCAACCACCCCGTTTGACCTTAGCCTGACAAAATATTATCCATCAAACAAGGAGAAACTCTGACCATTTACAATACCATGCATATAAAAGATTACCATTGATTAACTGATATTGTACCTTATCATCTGATCGGTCCTCTTGCGAAGAAAGTTGATTATTGTCTAGATGGTTATTACTATCATTATCGTAATGCGAATCTAAGACAAAACGTTAAAAAGTTCAATCGCAACAACCTTTAGCCTTAAGGAATAGAACAACGTTCCTGTATCTAAATGTTATAAAAGCACACTAAAATGTTCGACAGTATACTTCAAATGACAAGCGCTACCAAGTAAACATATCTCGATCGTTAACCTAACATTTCGAACGTGTCCTTTATTCCAGTATTTCTGTATGATGATTACTGTCAGCAACTACCTTACAGTAATGATATACGAGTGTGATACTCTAATTCAAAATTTTACGAGAATGAAGATACCTTGAATAGTATACGATTCTCCAGGAACCAGCTCTTGCCCTTCTCGACTCGCAAAATTGATGTTATCGTTATCACCGTTATACCTTAAACTGTGAAAACAGAAGATTTTCAAAAATTACTTTTAAGGTAAATAATGTCAATTACCAAGGATGCCTGTATACAGTATGAAAGTATAAAAGGAATGGTACAAGGACATTTACTCAACTAGAATAAAATGTCAACTGTAAAAAAAGGCTAATCCGTGAAGCATGTCCAGTATATTCCATATATAGAATTTGTAAATCTAGAGTACTAGGGGACATACCCATGTAAATTCTGCCCCTTAGCCACATCTTGCGTCAAATCAGATATATATTCTAGGCTAGTATTATTGGGTGGAACTTCCTCTGAAAATTATATGATCGTTTGAGTTTGGATTACCCTTACAATATAAAACAAATTAGGCATGCGAATATTCACTCGTCCGTGCACTAGATTCAATTGCGAATTGTTTCATTGACGACTTTCTAACATGTAATCAGTGTAGAATAAATGCTACGCTACAGGCAATTCAGAGTAAAGCATGTCTTATCATTGTTACCGGCAGTACTTCTACTATCGGAATTAGTACCGGTGCTATTGGCACGATTGAATATAGCAGTAGACGATGTTGCGCTTGCTTCGACATCGGGTAAATTATTTCCGCTTGTAATTATTCTACCGCCTTCATTGGTGGTACTACGACGGATATTATTTACTTGTTCCATACCATGAGCACGATCTGTTGGGGTATCACTAGTTGACGTATCACTGGCGATAGAGCCATCTTGAGGTAATAATGGCTTGTTATTTGACATTGCTAGTCAATGAAGTTATTAGCAAGAGCAGTCAAATAATATCCAAAAATTATTTCCTACAGCTGAAAATATTCAATTCCTTAGGCCAGCGATCGAAAGAGTCGACGTCGACACTCAAACAAGGCAATCATAACTACCGACTACAGTAGTGACCAGCGCTAAAAGACTGCAATTGCATCCGTTGGCGTCGTGCTGTACAGTGTACAGTACCCTGGACACAGTGTACAGTACTTGACTTTACTGTACAGTACAAAGAGTGTCCATGTACTGTACACTGTACACTGGTCCTGTGACCATTAAGATATTACATGTCCACTTGTCCAGTCCGGTACCGATACTGTACTGGACTGGAACTTAGTTAAACCCACTTTAGTCTATTACTGTACCAATCATCCAGTACAGTACAGTATGTATAACGCAGCTTAAGCCATATCATGGGTGTGGCGAGCTCTGTATGCTGATTGAGCGTAGCCCTTTACCTTCATTCGATTTGAAGTTATCAAGGACTAACATTCAATTTGAATAGCACATACACGTCAGCATATCCTTACCACTTTGAGTCATTGGCATTTGATGTTTTTTATTTTATTTCTTAGCGTAGTACTATATTTAGTTATTGAATCATCTTTCAAATTTCCAATACAAACCATCAGTCACCAGTATACTGTACTGTACAGTGTACAGTACTGTACAGTACTGTATGTATATACTGTACAGTACACTACTGAACGTGCGCAGGTCAGCACGTGCACCCACCGTGAAATTTCCCGGACTGTACAGTACTGTACTGTACACTACAGTCTGTAAGTGTCTAGTTGCACCGTACCATACAGTACAGTACACTAGAAATACAGTAGTACATCGGGAACTTGTTACGGATAACTGGAAAGAAGGAAGCCTCTTGACTGTAGTACAGCATACTGTAGTGCAAGTAGGAAATTCGCAATACAGTACAGTACAGTGTACAGTACTCGATTTTTTGGATGCAGGAATATCTCTCTGGTCGCATGTTGCCAAGCGAATTGTGTAATTGATAAGTACGTCTCTGACAATTTATGGACAGGCAAATTTGCACCGTCAAAATACAGTAAAAGTATGTATACGAATACCAAGAACTACACCGATATTAATGTAATCCATTCAATGACCTGTACATATTATATATGCATGCATTATAGACTGTAATTACCAGCGTCCTATGTCTACGGACTGGAGCATTGACCAAAATAATTTTAAAATAGTACTACAGACAATGATAGCGTAATCCATCCAATGAGCTGTACGTATTATATAATATATATATACTAGTACAAACTCCCGTCGCTTTGCTGACGGTTTACGATAATGTGCTCATTTAACAGATAGTATTACCATTTGATAGACCTGTCAGATACGGACTGGAGCATCGACCAAATAATTTTAAAATAGTACTACATAATCCATTATAGCGATATGAAGATTCAATTTTTATTGCCATTAATCGCATACATCTGGTTTACGTAATCGATGGAAGTAATACATAATTTTGGGAGACATTGGATTGGTACAACAGTTCCAAGATGGTAAATACATAAAATAGGCTTGACGAAAAGCGCTACAGTAATAATTATAAATCAAGGGATTAATAATAGTGGAAATAAGATAGAGAATGATACCTAAACGTATCATAAAGAGACCAGTCCCTTTATTTTCTGTCGTAATCTTATCTCGAGCTGCTAGCATAGTTGGTACATAAATAACAACAGCGGTAAAAATCATAAAGGTCATAGTACTGACTATTAACATTTTAAAAATATGCTTCCGACGATTTCGAACGGATAAGGCTATGCTATTATTGCTAATGATTAAATTAGCAATCGTGAATCGTGTAATATACATCCATATTCGAATGTAAGCAGTGATAATCATTATTAACGGTAAAAGATAAACAATAATACTGTAGATAATTAAATAATATCGAAATTGTTGAATATTGAAACTATATAATTCACATCGACAAGGTTCGCGAGGATACATTCGAAATAAATATAAATACGGAAAAGATAAACCAAAAGAGAGGGTCCATAACGAAAAGATCATTATAATTAGATTCCATTTTTTTCTGGCCAAGTTGTTATCTTTTTTTCTCAAGACCATAATTCTAAATCGTTCTATGCTAATTGCCGCCAGCGTATAGATACCGACCGTGATACCACCGACAATGGTAACACCAGAAATTCTACAATAAGTATCAACATTAAAGGCCGTCCAATTAGGCTTTAAGACAAATAGTGAAATTCCAGAATGAAAAGATAAAGCAATGGCGGTGACAACATCGCCAAGAGCTAAATTGAAAATTAACACAAATAGCATTTTGTGGAGATCATTACATCGAATAATTGCAAAACATGAAATGCTGTTTAGTATTAATGAAAGTACAACCAGTGGCAATAAATAGTAAAAAAATTTATTTTCTGAAGTATGGTCACTAGCATGATCGATATTAGTTAAATTATCCATGACCTTCTATAAACTAGAATATCTGTCTTCAATTTCGTAACTTGAAAAGTAACCTTTTATCCTAAAGCATAAACGCCAGTTTAGAGACCATTCAACCAATCATATGTCATTACCATTAAGACGAACTCGATCATAAATGATTTAATCAGAAATATAGCTGAATATATTCTAGCATCAAATCAACATCTAAATCATAATCTATGTATAATTAATACATAGCCAAAACTTAACTCGACATAAACACGAATACAGTAGCTACCGTTATCTGAACGAAATATAATTAGTAGAATATCTAATATGCACAACTGTATGACTGATCTAATGATGCCAAACAATAAGGGAATGTAACACCACTAACAATAGTAGCGTCATAAATTGATAATAAGTATTGATATCATTCACCGAGATTTTATAAGTATCTCAATGTATCTGAAATGACTTAGGTCACTTGAGTTTTGTAGAGATGGCGAAATCAATCTTGTTGAAGCTTGTTATATTTTATGATCGGTTTAAGTACATTAGAGCAATTCAGAGGAAAGCAATAAAAATAATAGCTTGATAAATAGTTAATCGCAGAATTTAATTATATGTGATTAATTTATTATTTAAAATGGAAAGCAGAATAGGTGAGAGATTATTCTATCTATAATTTATCGATGTTCTCCATAATCGTATTATTTTCCATTTACGTAAATGGTGAGATACCATATACTTTATTCAATTAATACTGATCATAGGATCTACACTGCCAGCATGCTATAATATTTATTTTTCACTGTTACAGACATTGGTAGCAATTGCTTTAGTCAACAATCATGAGCCATTATTAATGGAATAAGCACCCCCCCCAACGGTGGTGATCCAAAATTAGCATGGCTAATAATTACATTAGACTCTTCTATTTTAGCAGAAACGGTACCAAGAGCAGGTTTGATAATATGCCGATAGCATCGAATAGCAGTGGATAAAATCAGTATCTTAGAATTAATATGCATTTGACTATAAAAATATAATATGACCATGATGCATTATAACTCAATCCAATTTCTGTGTTAAATGTTAATGAAAGTCTTTAGAAAATGGAAAAAAGTATGGAAGAGAAGCTAATGTAGCAGCGTATAGCAATATTTTAAATCTAAAATATGTACATATTTTTATTTCTTTTCTTGTTGTAATCATTTTTA